CTGCTCGCTGCCGGCTTGTGCATCATCGAGTCCGCAGAAAATACGTCGAACGACCTCAAATCTGTATTGGAATCTCGCTTGACCCGCTACTATGCGTGTCTGGAGCTGGATACCACCCTCGACGGTTCCGAAACGCTCCAAAGTCTCGAGTTGACCACAGCAACTGAGGCGCTAAACGTCCTAGAAAGGGTGCATGGAATATTGGACGCGGAGGATGCTCCCATTGGAACGCGTGATCTCGCAGAGTTGCGGACATTGGTTGCAATTGCGTTTAAATGGGGCGTCGATCCTCTACTTTCGCGAGCAATGTTGGCTTGGCCCAGCAAGTCTGCTCGGCCGCAGATAATCGATCTGACGACTGCGCCAGAAGAATACAAACTTTTGTGCAGCATGATGTCTCGGCTGTTAAGCATAGTTCTTCCAACCAGTTCACCTACGTTCGTAGCTACCACACTCTTGAACCGCCATCTCGACCAACTTTTGAGACCATGCATCGCAATTGGCTGGCTACCCAAGTCTTTCGCGACCGATTCGACACCAGAATCGATCCGTCCCATGACAATGCGCCTCCTCGATGCGTGCGTTGTACCACTTTGTGTGCGGTGCACATTTTCTAACTCTTGCCAGTTTGCCTCCATCTCAGACTATCACGGCGTTGGGAGCCGTATTGTCAGTGAAGCCATGTCCACCCCACGTCCACAAGGCGTGCGCATCTCTCCTCAGCAAGCAGTTATTACGATCTGATGGTATCCGCGGACTGTGCGCCGCTGTCTTTGGAGAGGACGCCGATGAAGTTCAATTGGAAAAGATCGAACATGTTGCTCGTGTGTTGACGACTGCACCAGCTGGGATGTCAGCTGAGGTGTGACACTTGTAGTCCTCTTCGTCGCTAACTGACAAGGCGCAGCTCTATTTTTCTACTATCACTCCAAGTGTTCTCGAGCTGTTGTCAGACCGTGCCCCAACAGCGTATCGACGGGCAGCAGCATTCTCTGTATCCCGTATGATTGCGACACCGGCATCTGCTACAGTCCTTTCATTCTGCACCCTCCGCTTCTTTCCGTCGATCCACCATCGCCGCCCCGAACAGCATTGTCCACAATCATGATGCTCGTCACAAATACTGATCCCTCGCCCACCCTCATATCCTCCCTTCTGTCGCCTATCGCGTCGGCATTATATTCGCTGCTCTACCACCTGGACCAGGTCAAGACGTCTGACCCGAGTCTAAAGGAAATGCTGCGGGGACTGCTTGGACATGGGGTAGAGTCGTCAGTACCACAGAGCACTTGCAATTTTGTGGTCTCTCATTAACGGTGAAGGCGGCGAGTGGCGTGTGGATCTGGAAGGCCAGATCAATCGTCTTGAAAAGTGAGCAACACGAAAGCCCTTATCTGCAAGCTGACCAAGCTATAGATCTGAAAAACCAACTCCCTTGTCTCTCTTGACTCCCGCGGACGAGGATATTGATCTCGACACCAACATTTTAGACCTGTATCCCGACCCTGTGCATTTCATTCGCTTCCTGAAATCCATCCAGCGTACAGATATTTCCTCCGATCTCTTTGTGCAGTTGCTAGAATCGTATCGGGATTCAAAGTCGGACCCGGATGGCGATCCCACACGGTTGGTAATTTCATATGTTTCTACTCCTTTTAATTGTGTTTAGGACACTGCTATGCCTGCAACTAGTCGTTCAAATGCAGACTCATCTGTCAGACGGGGAGTCTACTATCCTCGGCAAGCCAACTCACATACTGTCCTTCGTGAAGCATGCTCTCGAGTCCGGAAGTCCAGAACCCGAGACAAAGAAGCCTGCCAGCGCCAATCCCTTTAAATTAGACCTCGGCGAGGGCGACCTCGACGACGAAGGCGATAGCGACGATGACACACCCGGCGTTGACATTATTTCCCCGGACGATGAAATGATCGAGACTTCGGTCAATCTACTTCTCGCAGTACTGGAAGGTTAGCCTCTTATTCTGGCCCTCTGCTCGGACCTGATCGACGTAGCCAATGAGGAGCTCTCTGCGAGGACTGAGCCCGTTCTTAACGAGATTTTCTCCTTACTGGAACCACTGTCGCTTTCCGGATCAACTTCTGTTCAGCCATTGGCGCGCGAAGCACGGATGGTTATGACCGCTCGCCTAGCCTCCACTTCTGTACCGAAACGAAGCGCTCACGAAGAAAACAACACTCAAGAGATTTATCAAAAGGCTCTCAAACTGCTTCAGGATCCTATATTACCGGTCAGAGCTCATGGGCTCTTGCTCCTTCGACAGTTGGTCACTCCGCAGAAGGGTCATGGGGCACAAATGTCGGATCCGGCGTTAATTCCAGCAATTTTATCCATATTTCTGCAGTCTGTACAAGACGACGATTCCTACATGTTTCTCAACGCTGTGCAAGGCCTTGCGGCCATGGTGGATACATATGGCAAAGATGTGCTCAGGGGGCTTGTGAAGGAGTATGGTCAAGGTCTAGATGGGCTTGGTGCCAGCAATATAACACAACACGACCTGGATATCCGTATTCGAATCGGGGAAGCACTTGCATCCGTAATCAAAAGATGCGGCTCTGCTTTACCCGCGTTCAGTAAGGTGTTCGCGCTGGATTGCACATGTAGCTGACGGCTTAAAGTTGATATCTTGGTACCTCCACTCTTCCACGTCGTTCGGTCTTCGCAGGTCCCCACAACCCTCCGAACCTCAGCCCTTTCATTGCTGGCTGAATGTCAAAATACTTGCTCCCTTGCCCTATTACCATATCTTACAGACCTCTCGGAGGCCATGGTTGATTTACTCCAGACCGAGAGTTCATCCACGACTCCAGCAGAGTCAGAGGACACCAACCCTACCTCAACGAATTCAAAGCTGCCCCCCTTCCGACGAGCAGCGCTCCACTTCCTTGGGCTGTTGATCCGCGAAACCACCAGACAAATATACGATTCGTCAGGCATCGAGTTTTCGAGCAGGTTGTTTGGGCGCATCAGGACCACCTTGGCGTACGTATCTGCCACTGACGGAGATATGGTAGTTAGGGTAATGGCACGGGAAGCCGTGGAAGGACTCTCAGAATTGGAAGAAGCGATGATGGGTAATACATAGATTATTTCAAAGAATAAATATCTACCCCGTATCTGTCTCAGATGCGGAGAGCTCGTGTCAACTGAGTCAATAAGAAGGTATGTCGATATAGGTTTTATTCACCGAAGTGCCCACCGCAAGTCTCATAAGGAGATGAATGAGTTGCGAGTGAGGAAAACCAACATAGCATTATGTGCTTGACGAGGGATTGCTGACTACCCGTGAGATTTCGTCCACACGCCGACGGAGACTCTTCCAGTTTGAACGGCCGACAAGCAAATATGGGGAATGGTCGTTCGTCGCGTCTGTAGGAGCGTCTAGTTTCAAAAATGGGTTGGATATCGCCGAGTAATACGCCATATGAAGAGCTTTGAATATCTAGGGCCGGGTTAGCTTCGACCGCAGAGACCCAGACGAGACCACCCACGAGATTAACTTCCGCATCCCGTACCACGGAATCTGACAGAGCCAACGCAATCACAATCTTGACTTTGAGAGGTGTGATGTACCCGTAAACCGCAACGTCCTCCATAGCATACAGTAGACCTAGGTAGCATTCAGTCGACTTCCCTCCAGCCGCCACTGGTTCAAAGGTGAGAAGGTGAAGCTAAAGGAGAAGAAGCTCAACCTCGCTCTTCTATCACGTCCAAGCTCGTATGCGCAATGTAGTGATATTTTATTGCATGGTCATCTTGCTTCGTGAATGTGCGGATGAGAATAGGGTGGTTTTGGGGAGATATAAAGGCCACTGCGTTGAGGACTTTCCGACTCATGACAATGTTACGGAAAGACGTGCCAGCGGTGTTTCAAACACTGTTTGGCCCCAGGCCAGAAAACCAAACAACGCCCAGTGCCAAATTAGGAAGGTTTGAGAAAAATTCAGTCGAGCGACTTTGAAACCAATTTGCCGCCCCTTTGGTCCGGAAATCTTTATGGATAGTTTCTGAATCGCAGTAAATAGCAGTAAAATGCATATAGACCTTGGCTCCCGAACCTGCCTGGTTCGAACAGGCGACTTGACGTTGTGGGGATGTTCGAACCAGGCATGTCGAGGGAGGTAAAAAGGTCTAAAAAATGACAGAAAATAAAACGACTACTTCCCACATTGAGTGCCGAATAGAGCTGCAGGCGAATGTAGCACTGCCGCCATCACGCGGTGACAGAACATTTGCAAGAGTCGTTGTTCGCATATACCGGCGGAAGGTCTAAGGAAAATTTTAATCCAATAGCTGGTGTTGACCCATACCTTCTGGAGTAAGAGGCGAAGTTTTACACCACATGAAATTAATAAAAAGAAATAAAAGCAGAATTCCAACAGAATTAAATTCGAACCAATCGGGCAATCGATTCCAAACAATCGTCGTTAGAGGTTTATGTTGGCCTCAATCAGTATCCTCTAAAGGTTTGCTAGTAGATTTCTGGCACCTGCTATCCTACCCCTCGTTTTAGGGCCGATTTGACAAAGCAACCATGCATATTAAATTTAATATTTATCGTCGGAAACGAACGATAAATAAATAAATTGAATATCATTCCACCGGTTTTCACCCTCAAGATAGAAATCCTTTAGACCAGGCAAACCAGTGGAAGATTTTGCCAGGTCGTAACCCCTTCAAGTCAGCAATTTTTATGGGTTTCGCCCTAGTTCGCATGTCTCAGATATCTGACGTCCAAGGTTCTTGATCGACGCTTCTCAGACACATATAAAAACCTGGGGAAGGTCCTGAAACGCTTCAAACTCCAGTTGACACGACTCTTACTTGCCGGGTTCGAACAGGCGACACTTAGATGTAGGCCTCGCCTGGGAATTCAGTCCGCAAATCAAAGCAGACAATATTGATGATCGGCGTCTCTCAGGACCTTGTGCAAGTTATTATACGTGTCTCGTACCCTCCAGAAGGGAGGCAAAAAGCCTCCGACTTGCCTGGTTCGAACAGGCGACACCCAGATTATTATTACGATATCCAATTACAGTCTGATGCTCTTCCAACTGAGCTAAAGTCGGCATGGAGAAATTTGGATAATTTACACTATTGAAGGTGGTACAATTTTTGCTTCCATTTATAAAATAACGCGCTGATAAACGCGTGAGCAACGTGTGAGACTCTTTATCTTGAGAAATCGAATTTTACAATTTACGATTCGTAGGTGTGAGGAATTTCCCGAGGGCCAAGGTTCCGATCATTCTGAACCTCCCATTCTATTTTACTGAAGACTCGGACTCGGAACTAAAAGTACGTAGTATCCTCGACACAGGGATGGGTGGATGTCGGGGTTCAAGCTAACGTTCAAGTTGAGAATCTATTAAAGTCTCCGCTGAACTGCACTGAATCGATATCTGCCCACGAATACAAATGCAACCTGGGTTGGGGGTCCACTCTAGTGCTTTCATTCAAAACAATCTATTGAAGCAAAAGTATGCTCGCCGCTCAAAGACTCGGATAGTTTCGTAGCGGCAAGGTGTATATTATTTACAGTGTAAAGGTATTATGGTACACATCACCCAGAGATGGTCTGCGTTAGGTATGAATTACAAGACGGACGAGATGCTGAAGCTCCCAGTCGCCGCCATCAAGGAGAAGGTCGTTTCCGCCCTTGCAGCCTCGGGAATCCCCAGGTTGCAGGAAGCGGAGCTGAAGGGCATTAAGGTGCTCCCTCGCGGACGTGTGCTAGTAGCCGCCCGCGACGAGAAAACTGCGATGCGCCTGAAGCAGACTGCGTCTTACTGGACGCCCAAACTCTCCAAAAATGCGCAACTGGTGGTGCCAAGCTACCGCGTGGTTGTTAACAGCGTGCCGAAGTCCTTTAAACCGGACGGACCACACGTTGCCCAAGAGCTCTACGCTCACAATCGCGCGGCTATCCTGGACCCCTCGGTGATCAAGGAAGTGCGCTGGCTGAACCCCAAAGCACTCCGTGACCCGAAGAAGCAAGCATCCTCGCTTCTCCTTACCCTGACCGACATTGTCTCCGCCGACAGATGCATCGCACAGACCCTCGCCGTCGAATCGTCACTCTGTCCCACCCATCGTTACGAAGAACCCCCCGAACAATGTTACAATTGCCAGCACTACGGACACACCCAACACCAGTGCAAAGAGACGACCCCCACTTGTGCCCGCTGTTCACAGCCGCACCGCACGAACGCTTGCCCTTGCGCCACTTCAAAAACCAAGTGCACGGCTGGCAAGCGTTGCGAGCACTTCTCTCCACGCTGCGCCCCTGCGGCGGTAACCACACCTCTTACCACCGGGACTGCCCTGTCCGTGAGCGCGAACGCGAGCTCCAGCGCGCCAGCCTTGCAGGCAGGATCTTCTTCGACCCCGCATTCGACCCTTTCGACCAGGTGAACCGTGACTTCTCGATCGACGACCCCATCCCTCCATCCCTCCCCTCCCCTGCGCTCTCTACTACCTCCCTCCCTTCCCTTCCTAAATGAATAACACAACCATCACATACACCGTTCAGAACATACGTATAATCTCCCTCAACTGCCACAAATCTTACGACGTACTTATCTCTCTACTTAATTACACCAATCCCTCCGTTCACGACGTTATTTGCATACAAGAGCCTCCTCCCGACCTTAATAAATTTCCTTCCCTCTCTCCCCCCCACTGGGACCGTATCCTACCTACTTTTAATACCGGCTCTCCGGATACTTTACTCTACGTATCAAAAACCATACCATCATCCACATATTCACAAAACACCATCAACTCCCCTAATGTTACCTCAATCACACTTAGTTTACCTTTACATACGATACATATATACTCAGTTTACAACAGAACCGACACAGACGACGGAATAACGCCACTCGACGGACACCTAAACTCCTTCTCCCCCCTCCCCCAAAACCACTCCCTCGCGATATTCGGCGACTTCAACAAACACCACGCCCTATGGTCAGGCCCGCTCCACCCCAAACGCACTGCCGACTCTGACACGACGCTCCTCATCGACGTTATGACCAGGCATGGCCTCACCCAGTGTGTCAAAGCGGGCACCCCCACCTTCTTCTCCCCAGTCCATCACACAACGTCGACCATAGACCTCGCATTCATCTCGGAGACAAACCTCGGGCCGCTTCTGGAGAAGTGCGAGGCCCTCCCTGGTCACGGCTCGGACCACGCACTCATCTCGTGCACCTTCGCCGTCCCGCTCGAACATTGCGCGCCTCGCCAGCGCCGCAACTTCCGCGGAGCCGATTGGGACGAGTTCCCCCACCTTCTTGACGCCGAAATCGCCCGCAAACCCCTCCCCCCTCTCCCCCTTCACACACCAGAGGAAATCAACGATTACGTTGACACCCTCACGGAGAGGATAACCACTGTGCTCGACAGGCACGTTCCGCTGACCCGCCCGAGCCCGTACTCGCGCCGTTGGTGGAATGCTAGCCTGTCCGCACTGCGCCGCGCCTACAACGCCGCGCACCGCGCCATCACGAAGAACGACCCTACAGACCCGAGCTGGGACGTCATGCGCACTGCCAAAAACCTGTACCACTCGGCGATACGGCGTGCAAAGCGTGAACACTGGCGCGAGTACATCTCAGAGCTCCCACGCGGCAACATCTGGCAAGCGGCCAAGTACGCCCTCGACCCCAGCGCTTCCACCTCCTCCTCCCGCATCCCCAATCTCACCGCGCCGGACGGGTCCATCGCGACTACGCCTGCTGACAAAGCCAAAGTCCTACACGAGAAATTCTTCCCCCCAAACCCAACCTCGACCCTCCAGACCCTGACGAACCCCTCCCCGAACCCCTCCCCTCGCCGACGTTCACTGTCGACGACGTCCACCGCGCCATAGCCAAACTGGCGCCGTGGAAGGCTCCGGGACCGTCAGGCATCCCGAACATCGCGATCAAGTCGGCGCGAGCGACCCTTGCTCCGTGCCTACTCGCGGTCCTCGAGGCGGGCCTACGCACGGGTTACTTCCCGAAGACCTGGCGGATCTTCCTGACAGTGACCTTGCGGAAGCCTGGGAAGAGCGATTACACCGTGCCTGGCGCACACCGCCCCATTGCTGAGGAGGAATGCCTCGGCAAGGTGGTTGAGTCCGTCCTCGCCGAGTGGCTCTCTGGATTCGCGGAGAAGCATGGCCTGCTCTCCCCGAACCAGTTTGGAGGCCGCCCCGGCCGCTGCACCGTTGATGCTCTGCTTCAACTCGTGCAACATGTCAAGGACGCCTGGCGCGTTGGGAAGGTGGCTAGCCTCCTCCTCATGGACGTCTCTCAAGCGTTCCCCTCCGTGAGCCATGACCACCTGATCCGCTCACTCGAGAGGAAACGCGTCCCCGCCCCAATCGTGCGTCTACTGACGAGCTTCTTGTCGGAGCGCAGCACCACCCTCCTGTTTGACGACCACGAATCTGCCCCTCCCCTGTCCCAAATGGCCTCCCCCAGGTTCCCCTCTCAGCGCGCTACTTACCTCATCTACGCGGAGCGCTATGGAGGACGGACCCTCGGGTACGTGGACGATAACTCCTGCCTGGAAACGGGTTTTACCATTCATGAGACCACGACGTTGCTACGCGACACATGCGCGACTTCGCACTCCCACCGCCAAGACCATCGGCCTGCGATTGACCTCCCAAATTCCACTCGTCCACTTTGTTCCCCCCGTCGACACTCCACCCACTATCACCCAATCCCGCTCAAGATCGGTGATATTGTCGTACAGCCGGAACAACATCGAAACTTTTGGGGTCATACTCGACCACAACTTTCCTTCCGGAACCACGTCGAGCTCGCGCACGTAGAGGCACCAAGGCGGTGCTCGCCTATCTCCTCCCCCACCTTCGGCTTCCCCATTCCTACACCCGTCAGTTGTTCCAGACGGTAGTGGTTCCCAGAATGGAGTACGCACTCCCAGTGTGGTATCGGCCTGTGACGGAACGCGAACACGCGAGAAGGAGCGGGACGGTGTGGGTAGCGAAGGCGCTAGGCAAGGTTCAACGGCAAGCCTGCAAACTGATCACTGGCTCGCTCAGGACCACCGCGACAGACACGCAGAACTACCATGCCAACATCGCACCTATCCACCTCCGCCTCAACCGCTCGGCCTACAACGCCACCGCCCGTCTCGCCGCCCTCCCTGCGTCCAACCCCATCCGAGGCACCTTTGCCCGTTGCCGACGCATCCCACGACTCCATCGCTCGCCCATCCACCACCTCATCGCGGCCTTCCCAATCTTTCGCAATGATTTCGAGACCATAGACCCGCTCCGTCGGTTTTCCCCACTCCCGGAATCTGCGCTCACCACGAGCATTGCGCCGGACAAGGACGCCGCGCGCACCGAGATGGACAGGATTGTGGCGAGGGGAGGCTTCTGCGTTTTTACGGACGGGTCGGGGTACGAGGGAGGGGTAGGGGCGGCGGCAGTAGCGATGAAGAACGGAGTAGTGGGAGAGCACCGTCAGAAGCACCTGGGCACAGACAGTGAGCACACCGTCTTCGAGTCCGAAGTCTGCGGGGCGATCCTTGCGCTGGACATCATCGCGGGCACGCCGCGCCTGACGGATGCGGACGTCTTCATTGACTGTCAACCAGCCATCGCGGCGCTCGCTTCCCCCAAAGCCCAACCCGGCCAATACCTCCTCGCCGCCTTCCACGCGATCCTCGCCCGCCTTCTCCGAGCGCGTCGCACCCTCCGAATCCGCATCCACTGGGTACCGGCGCATGTTGGTATCGTCGGCAACGAGACGGTTGACGCGTATGCCAAAGCCGCAGCCCAAGGCGCCTCCTCCCCGCTCGCGACGCGCGTCAAGCTCTTCGAGAGCCCCCTTCCCATCAGCCGCGCGGCGGTCATCGCAGCAGGTACGAAGGCGTTCGCGGTGCAGTGGCGCGAGGAATGGTCGACGTCGCCGCGGCACGCGCGCATCTCCACCTTCGATAATGCGACCCCCTCCAAAGCGCTAGAGAAAATGTATGAGGGGCTAAGTAGGCCGCAGTGCAGCGTCCTCACCCAACTCCGCACGGGCCACATCGGGCTTAACGCGTA